TGACACATCGAACAAGTGTTTAAGATGGCTAGATGATCAAGAGTGGTGTTGCATACTCCACTTGATAAAGGCGTCCTTCGGGTGAGAATATTGTTGTACGGCTATCATATTTTCGAGACATTTTGATCAAAAGAGGGGAAGACGGTAGCGTCGATTGAAAAACATTGACAGTTTATAAATAATACAAAACAGATCTAGTAATCTGGAATTCTATTAAATTATATCATAGATGCTATTGAGGGTCTGGAGCACAGTACCGGCCATTGTTTATACACTGAGACTTGCATTGATTGCTTAAGAGAAAATCATTAGGGCAGTACCAAGTTATAAAGTGAGGAGTAAATTGAGTGAACCCCTTCTTCTCAAGAAACTGAGTTGCACCCCTTCATGCATCTGAAACATGAAGTGTCTTCTGCACTAGAATGAAAATAATAATGTTTTTGTTGGATTTAAAGGGATATGAGCTGTTGAAAAATATAAGATTTCTATTTGATAAATCTATGATTTCTACCAACTATTGATATGTTGCTTTGGTTTTTGTTGCAGGTAACTTTTCTCTTCCACTTGCTTCGCTGCTCTTCAAACCCTCGTGCGTCTTTGAGGTATGATTTCATTCTTAAATTTGAGTGTGCCTTTACTATATCACTGTTTAATAGTGTTAGACTAAAGAATTTTATCTTATAAGAATTTTATCTTAAATTTGAGTATGCCTTTACAAATACATTATTCTTATAAGCAATTGTAATAACCAAAATTGCAATGTTTGCAATCGCATTCATACGGGACCGCAAAAGCACTTTAAAATCCTAGTACAAAGCAATATTAAGGTCGCACTCGCACACTGACACAACATAAGTAAATATTCTTGAAGTACCTAGCTAAATATAGTAAACATATTGATATGAAGTATTTATCCATATATGTATGTTACATGAAACTGTATTATACTAATTGATATCACAAGGCTTCACCTATAAACTTGTTATGTAGTGTGTAAAAACAAATTAAACAACCAATAATAAAACTCATCTCTTTTATTTTTTCTATTGTTTATATTCAAAATAACATGTTCTTGTAAGTACTAGAATTCTGAAAATATAATTTTTTTTTTTAAGAAATGGATAAGTCATGGATTATTAAGCCACAATCATCGATTGCGTATCAAAAAGGGATACAAGAATTTATTGATTTTGCATTCAAAGGTGCAAAAGAAAACGACGTAGTAATATGTCCTTGCAAACGTTGCGGTTTCAGAAAATTAAAGAGTAGGAGTGACATGTTCGACCACTTAAGTTGGTCACCATTTCCGCAGGGATACACCATGTGGATCCATCACGGAGAGTCTTTTGTACGATCTAGTACTATCTCCCCTAGTACTACTCCAAGTATGGTAGAAGATACTAACATTGTCGAAGAACCTATTCAGAACATGATCAATGGTGCATTTGGAGTTTATGGGAATCATGCAAATGAAATACCATCTGTGTCAAATTTGGAGATTGAACAAGAAGATTATGTGATGCCAAGCTCGACTCAGGAAAGAAACGAAGCCAAGGAGTATTATGAGTTGGCTAGAGAAGGAGAACAACCTTTATATGAAGGGTGTAGACGATATTCAAGACTATCTTTTTTGGTTAAGTTGTACCATATAAAGTGTTTATGTGGATTGAGTGAGAAGGCAATGACAATGATTTTAGAGTTAATAAAAGATGCATTTGAATATGCAAACATTCCAAGTTCATTCTATGAAGCCAAGAAATCAATCACAAAACTTGGTTTGAATTATGTAAAGATACCCGCATGTCCAAACGGTTGTATGCTTTATTGGGGAGAAGATGAGGAGAGGGAGACTTGCAAAAATTGCAACACTTCAAAATGGAAAACAAATGAGGATGTCTCTGTTAACAAGAAAAAAAAGAAAATTCCTGCCAAGGTTCTTCGTTATTTTCCATTAAAACCTCGATTACAGAGATTATTTTTGTCATCAAAAACGGCAGAGGATATGAGATGGCATGCAACAGATACTAACAATGATGGAATATTGAGGCATCCTAGAGATTCAGAAGCTTGGAAGAAATTTGACTTGACACATACTTGGTTTTCATCAGATCCACGGAATATGCGTCTTGCATTGGCTAGTGATGGTTTTAATCCTTTTGGTGTGATGAGTACAAACAATAGTATTTGGCCAGTTGTTCTCATACCATATAACACTCCTCCATGGGTTTGCATGAAGCAGACATCATTTATAATGTCAATGATAATTCCCGGTAAAGAGGCACCAGGAAATAATATTGATGTCTACTTACAACCATTAATCAAAGACCTGAAGGAGTTATGGACAAGTGGTGTGGATACATACGATTCTTTCAAGAAAGAGATGTTCAAGTTGCATGCAAATTTGATGTGGACTATTAGTGACTTTCCAGGGTTGGGTTCACTTTCTGGGTGGAACACATACACAGGACTTGCTTGCCCATCGTGTAACTTTCAAACTACACCTCTCCGTCTTAAAGCTAGTCGTAAATGGTGTTTTATAGGTCATCATCGTTTCCTTGATCGGAGACACAGGTTTAGATTGAACAAGATCCGCTTTAATGGTGAACAAGAAATGCGGAGTCCACCGAGAACATTATCTGGACATGAAGTTTTTGAAAAGGTTAAAGATGTTGAAGTCATCTTTGGTAAAAAGGCAGTGAAAGAAAAATCAGTAAAAAGAACACGTGAGGAACAACCTATAGAAGGTGATAGTACACAATGTGATCCTACAAAAGGTCATCCTCAACAATGGAAAAAGAAAAGCATATTTTTTGAACTTCCGTATTGGAAAGATAATCTTCTACGCCATAATCTTGATCCGATGCATATTGAGAAAAATGTGTGCGATAATGTCCTATTTACTCTACTGAATGATAGGAAAAAGAGTAAAGACCATTATAAAGCTCGAGAAGACCTTCAAAATATGGGCATAAGACCTGATCTTTGGCCTGATGAAAATGGTAAAATTTCTCCGGCTGCCTTTAGTTTAACAGGTAAAAATAAAAGGAATTTTTTAATGACTTTAAAGAATATTAGGGTGCCTGATGGTTATTCAAGCAACATTTCTAGATGCATTGACTTAGTAAATCTCAAGGTGAATGGAATGATGAAGAGTCATGATTGTCATATATTAATGGAACAACTTTTACCATTAGCCATTCGCACAACATTACCTCATGAGGTTTCAGCAGTATTGATTGAGTTGTGCTCATTCTTTAGACAATTATGTGCCAAGGTATTGAAAATTGAAGACATGGAAAAATTGCAAAACCAAATTGTCCTCACTTTATGCCATATGGAAATGTTATTTCCTCCCTCGTTCTTCACGGTTATGGTCCACTTGGTTGTTCACCTTGTTGAAGAAGTTAAACTTGGAGGTCCTGTTCATTATCGATGGATGTATCCTGTTGAAAGGTAAACTATGTGATTTTGTTCTAATGTTACTAACTTAATTATAAAGTAGAAAGTTTTTTTAACTAGTGTTATTGTGGTTCAATGATAGGTACTTGGGAAAACTTAAATCGTATGTACGTAATAAGGCAAAACCAGAAGGGTCTATTGCAGAAGGATACCGTTTTGAAGAGATTCTTACATTTTGTTCAAGATATCTAGAAAATATTGAGACCACATTGATGACCCTATTGATGATATCCAAACTGCTTCACGTGTAGCTGAATTATTTCCTAGAGTTGGAAAACCTGTGGGTGGATCTTCTTATTACACCCTAACACCAACTGAAAAATTGCAGGCTCATAGACACGTTTTAACAAACTGTCCAATAGTTGACGACTATCTAAAGTATGTAGTTTTATTACATTTAAGTAGTTTCATCTATACTATTAATATTTTTTTACATCTAATATCGAATAATCAAATAGGCAGTTCCGAAGTTTTACTCAAAACCAAATGAGGCGCAGTCAAAGAAGTGCTACTGAGATAGACAAGAAGGTTCATAAGGAGTTTGCGCATTGGTTCAGCAATCGTGTGAGTTTTCATACAAAAATAGATGTTTTATTGAATTGGTTTTTAATAATAACAAGACTAATTGAATGTTGTATCATGTATAGATTCGCAACAATCTTGACAACATTCATGGGCCAGATAAAGATGTTCTCATTAGTCTTGCTCATGGACCTTTTGATAAAGTTAAAAGATTTACCGCGTTCAATGTCAATGGATTCAAGTTTCGAACGTTGGAACGAGACAATCTTTTAAAAACTCAAAATAGTGGAGTTTTTGGCATGTTTGGGACACGAAGTTATTCAAGCAATAGTGATACCCAAATGAGATTTGGAGGGGTCCCTTACTATGGAAGATTAATAGATATTATTGTGCTTTCCTATGATGGCTTCACAGTGCCCATGTTTAAATGTGAATGGGCTAATATCATAAACCCAAGAGGAATTAAGATAGATAAGTTGGGTTTTACCTCTATAAACTTTGCAAGACTACTACATACTAGTGAACATGAAGATAATGAGCCATATATTCAAGCATCTGAAGCTCATATGGTTTTTTATGTAGATGATGAGAGTGAACAAGGATGGAGCATACCTGTTCATTTGAAGCCAAGAGACTTGTATGACATGGGTGGAAATGATGAAATTATGACACCCATTGAGCCATATCCATCACAAAATTTGGAACAAATCTTTTCAAATGATGATCTTGGAACTTCAGCGACAAATGATGACAATAGTTAACATATAGTTTTTTATTGATAAGAATCTAGTTTGTTTGTAACTTGTGTGAGACTTAATGTATGATATTCCATTGTTACTCTATGTTCTTTGTTGCTTATCCCTAATTAATATGTTAGATGACATTGTTACTCTATGTTTTTAATTTATTGTGTTTATGTTATGTTTATTAAATTTGTATTCACTAATATATAATTTTGATGTTTACTACTTTTAGTGTACTTAATACCTATACTTGCAGTTGAAGCCTTTTGTGAGACAATGACTACACCATATGAGAATAGTCGCCTCAAAAGAATTGCAGAGAATAAGAAAAAGTTAGCGGCTCTCAATCTTCCTACACTCTCTCAATCCCTTCACAAATCATCAGAGTCTTCTTCCAAACCATCACTGGTCAGTCATAAATTCTCTATACTACTCCATACAAATTAATTGTACTTATTATTTACTAATATTCACTAATGTATTTTATTTAGTCTGTGAAGGGCCGTTCAAGGTTTGTACAACCTGGAGAGCTTGAAGTAAATAAGAAGCGCCTACGTTCAATTACAACTCGCAAATCATCAATAACCCCTCCACCAATGGAAACTACAATAACCCCTCCACCAATGGAAACTACAATAACCCCTCCGTCAATCCAAATTGCAAAAGATGTTGTGGTAGAAGATGAGGATGAAGATGACATGGTAGGAGATGAGGCTAATGATGTTGTGGTAGGAGATGGGACTGGAGATGTTGTATTAGGAGATGAGGCTGAAGATGTTGTGGTAGGAGATGAGGCTGAAGATGTTGTGGTAGGAGATGGGACTGGAGATGTTGTGGTAGGAGATGAGGCTGAAGATGTTGTGGTAGGAGATAGGACTGGAGATGTTGTTAAAGTGGCTAAATCTGAGTATTGGGATGTAAATGTCATTAGTAAGTAATTTAAGGTTAAAGTATCTATAAATAATTTAAATTTTTTACATAGTTGAGTTATGAAATTAATTTGTTTACTTTTTTAATGTGATAGACGAGGAAGGTTATGTTTCAAACACACGTTTATGTGTGAAAGACTTGGTTGCGAAATCAGAGCCTGATGGAACATGGATAATACTTGAATTCAATAAGAATAATTGTGCAGTAGGACCGGTGTTGTACCCCAAAATTTGCCCTCCCATATTCTTCAAGAAATTGCCAAGCCAAGTCACAAAATTCCCCAAGGGTTATGCAGTTTAACTGTCTCCTATACAGTTAAAACTAGGGTTTTTGTTCTGATCAAAGAAAGGAAGTTTTCAAGGACCCAATCAAGTCTCATATGCTTACAAAGATGGTCAAGTATCCTCATATCAAATTTCAAGGCATTCAGCTCAAAATTGCACAGTCAAAACCCTAGATTGCACTACAGTCAACTGTAGGGGCAAAATGGTCATTTGACAGTCAAAAGTTCAAATTTTTGGTCAACATATCATTTTGAAGCCATAAACATCATTTGATCAATGCTTGATCATGATTCTCAAAATTTGGCTCAGAAAATCATCAAGATGCAAAAGTTACTATATTTGGACAGCTGAAAAAAGTCAACTGAAATTGACCAGGGCATAACTTCACATGGATTATCAGAAAAATTCCATCCAAAGCTCATTTTGAAGAGAAAGACATTTCCTACAACTCATCTTCATACTTCAAGTCCAAGAAATGCACTCACAAAAAGTTATCAATTTCAACATTATAGGTCATTTTCAAAAGTCAACAAAAAGGGACTTTAAGTCAAAGGCCATAACTTGAGATTGGTAAATCAAAATGACATGGGACCAAAGGCATTGGTTAGAGGACTCAAAGACCTTTCCAAAATGTCCAAGAACATGTGAAAAGCTTAAAAATTGAGCAAGTTATGCCTTGTGGAAGTTTGGAAATGTTTGGGAATTTTGGAAAGTCAACATTGATGCAAATGATCCAAAAATGCTAATGGGCCCATTTTTCTTCCAAGTTTCTTCATGCCAAGCCTATGCACGACCATTAAGCCCAAGGGGAAGTATTTTCTCATTTTTTTAATTATTTATTTGAATTTATATTAATATTAATTCATTTAAATTATTTAAATATGTAGAAAATATAAACTTGACCTAAAAAAATCTTTTTATGCACATTCTAGACTCAAGATTTCGTGCACATGCTAATTGGGAAAGAATTGGACTAATTGAGCTTAATTGATACAAAATACATGAGAAAAAGATTGAAAAAAGATCCTTAACAAATCAAATCTCCAATTCATAAAAGCAATGGATTTTGATCCAATTTTCTTAACCTAATTACTCACTACATATGCAGGATGAGAAACCTAATGGGAAGAGACTGAAAAGCTGCGCAAGAAGCTCTCTACAAAACTTGAAAATTGCCATAAAACTCAAGAACTAAATTCAGTGTTCTAGGTGGTTTTAAGCCCTAATACTCATTCCAAAAGCTTGCTCGTGGACTCCTGATCATATTCCAATCAATATCAATCACCAAAACACCCTGAATCGGTATCATGAACTCAAACAGTTTCAAGAAAAATGCATGATCGTGTACCATGTTTAAGGCATTTTCATTGTTTTTTATTGATGCATTCATACTAATAAACATATTCTGAAGCTAACCATGTGATCCAATTTTGTTTTCGTGCCGTATATGGATGTTTGCCATTGTTAATTTTTAGGGTTCATAAAGCTTAGAATTAGGGCTTTTCAATTGAAGAAAAATTAGCTTTCCAGACTTAGACCATTCAAACCGGCACACTCCAACGAACAAGAATCAGTCATCGCGATTAATTTATGGGGCCTCAGGGCCTAGTCGTTATTTTCTCGTATGCCACTTTCTACAACGGTGTAAAAACCGTTGCCTAATACTTTTGTTTTTTTCAGGCAAAACGAAGCCATGGGGAAGATGATGAAGTGGCGTATACTGGTTGGATAATTTGAATTTTTCGCGCTTAACCACTAACGCGTTTGTGTTTTCTTTTTGTTATTTACTTATTGTAATATGATAATTGAAGCGTGGTAGCTCAGCTGGCAAGTGGACGTGTTTGTGACCTTCATGACCTGGGTTCGAACCCCAGGTCTCATGCTATTTCAATATTGTTTTTCATTCACAATTCCCATGCAGCTTCAGCGCAATGGTTTACCATAGGCCATCATAATCCAAGCAGCCACGCGTCCTGGCAGGTCCATCAAAGGGCTCAGATCAAAGAACGTGCTGTGCCCAAGTCAACACGCTAGCACATGAGTTGGCAAAAGTCAATGGATCCACTGCTTATTGGGCCTGATTTGCTGAACAATACCTCCTAAATTGGGGCCTGAACCCCCCCTTGGTTTGCCTTCTCTTTCTTTTTATTTTTTAATTGTTATTTTATTTTCTAATTTAATTAATTAATGTTTTTTTTATAAAATATAAAAATATCATAAAAATCAGAAAAAGGCAAAAATATAATATATATTTATTTTAATTATTTTTCATAAAAAAACTTGCATGTAAATTAGTTAATTTAAATTAAGGCTTATTGTTAATTCTTTTCATCATAAAAACACAAAAATGTAGAATTTAGGTTTGATGAATTTTATTCCTTTTTAAATTTTCCTTTTTTCTATCACAATATTATTTATTTATTTATTTATTTTTTTATAATTAAATGCACATAAATTAATTTAGGGTTTAATTTAGGTTAATGTAACATTTTCATGATAACTAAAAAATATTAGAATTAGGGTTCGACACTTTGTTTTAATTGTAATTAATTCTCTTTTTTCCTATTAAATCTCAAAAAACACAAAAATACTAAAAAACATTTTCTTTTAAATTTTAATTTTTAATTCTTCATTAATTTTAATTTTTGCAAAAGTGTCCAACGCCCACATTGTTAATTATTTAATCTGCGTATTTATTTTATTTCGTTTATTATAATTATGTAATTCTCCCAAAGCTTTGTAATTTAAACTTTTCGCACTTTTATTTGCTTCTTTATTTTCCGTCAAATCGGGTCCGGTTTAATTTTGGCGATGTGGACCCGCGCCTTTGTAATAGCCTTAGATTTATTTTCCCGCAAATATTTTTAACTGTTAAATATGCATGCAAGAATGAATGTCTAAATAAAATCAAGCGTAGATCACAATGAATATGACAAGACAAATACAAATGAAAACGACACACAAATTCGCACACACCACCCCTAGGGTACGCCTCACTATTGCCTTTCGAAAGGTGGTCGTCGAGTAGAGGATGTCTTAGTAAGTCCTCATGATCCGGGAACCTGGCATGAGGGTAGCTTCTAAGGTGTCTTCCCATTGCTCTGGTGATCACCATGTCCCGAACCTCGAATTGACCCGAACACCTCCAACGGTGGTGCTACCTACCTCTCAATGGTGGGATGGCACTACTTTTAAGGACATTTACACAGACGAATTCCTTAGGGTAGGTAGGTTCTCAAGGATACTTGCTCTAATCTTCAAAACAAACTGAAATCTTTTCACACCAACACATTTTCAAAAGCTTTCAAAGCAAATTTTTCAAACACTCTGATGTACGAGTCGAACTGAAATTTTTCAAAGAAACTTTTTAAACCCACAATTGAAAAGCAAGCAAACATTTTTGAAAACACAATGAGCAAGTATCTAAGAGCCCATGGATAACCATGGATAGAAAGGGTGCTAACACCTTCCCTTTCTATAACCTACCTCCCGAACCGAGATCAATCTCTATAAGGAATTTTTCTGTGCTTTTGTCCTTTCCATTTGGAGAAAATAAAAGACGGTGGCGACTCTTGCTTCCGCGACATTTCGCGAACCAGCGTTAAACAGTCAGTTCCAGATCCACCAATCACAGAACTGGCGACTCTGCTGGGGATATCTTATAAAGTGAGGTGTACCTTAGGGCTAGGTCATAACTGTGTTTTCACTTGTATTGTTTTGCTTGCTTTATTATTGGGGGTTGCATCGGAGTTACATAGATCCTAACCCGGATCTGGGGATACCCTGTTTAGGTAGCATAAGCTGTGAGGGACTTGTCCGGCGTATACCGACATGGGTGAAGCAGTGGCTACGTTGGTGTGGCACCTTGGTCTGTACCGATATCCCTCGTGTTGAAACGGGGAGAATATGGGTCTTCCAAGGAGTCATTAAGCACCAACAGACCTTAGAACCTTAAATGACACAACTTGGCCATTAGAACAGTAGCAGTATGCTACACCCATGGAGGCTAAACTCTCGTGATGGTTCTGGCCGCAAGAAAAGATTGCGATGCTGGAGTTATGACCGATTGAGGGTAGTCAATGATATTGGGATCCTCTAAGAACCCGGTTACTTTGATAGGACAGGTATGAACCAACAAACTGAAAGAGGGTACTACCCAGACCTCATGCTGGCCTAAACTCTAAGGGTTTCTCTTGGGTGACTTGCGTGCCTTCGTACTTGACTACTTGCATGCTTGTTATCTGACCCTTGATGTCTTGCAGGTTTTGTTCATAGTCCTTAATTGGAACTTATAACAGGGTGTACTAACCACTTGCAGGTTCTGTTTATAGTCCTTAATTGGGACTCATGACAGGTTTTACTTAGGTTTCTTGCAGGTTTTGTTCATAGTCCTTAATTGGGACTTATAACAGGGTGTACTAACTACTTGCAGGTCCTGTTTATAGTCCTTAATCAGGACTCATAACAAGTTTATCAAGTTTCTTGCAGGTTCCGGTTTATAGTCCTTAATTGGGACTCATAACAGGGTTACTCACATTACCCCATGCATAGCATAACATCATACCATTGCATGCATCCTGCATACATCCTAACCCATTTCAAGGATCTCAAGGGCTTGTGATGCAGGTCATGATGAATCAAACATCTAGCAAGGGGCAAAGAGGATTTATTTTCCTCTAGCCAAGGTTGTCAGGGGCTATGACCCACTGGATATGGTGAGCCTTTGACCCTTGACGAAGGACTCTCAACAAAAATGAAGTTCTTACAATCAAGCTACCGGTTCCAAATGCTAACAAAGTTTCTCTGTTTACCCCGCGAGGTCCTTGAAAACATTACATGCATGTCATACATCTCATTGCATTGCAGGTATCCCTTGACAGGTTGCTTATCTTTCTTTGCTGTTTATTTCAGCCGATCATCATGAATCCTGAATCATCAGCCGAGCAGACTATCAAAGACCTCCAGGCTCAGAACGCCCAGTTCCAAGAGCTGATCATGAATTTGACCCAGGGGCAA